TTTGTTATTTCTCATTCAATTTTTAACCAAATTCAACCAAATTTTAATTAGTTCTTCCTTAGCCGATGGGAAATGCACTCACAAAATTTCGTACGGATATGTTTGGTATTTCTTGAGTTATCGTGCTCACAGACAAACACACACACACGCACACACAATAAATTGTCCATGTTGTCTGGCACGTAATATGATCATGTGATCAAACTGACCAATGGCAAAACGAAACTAATAAGTATACTAAATGAAGTTTCCACAAATAGATTGGGCAAGGCTGAGATTGTTGATGTACTTGCATTAGACCAATCTATCTCAGTGTTGTTAAAATCGCCCACAACTATCAATTCTGATGTCGAAACTTCGCTGAGAATTCTTTGTAGTTCTTCTAAAGGATATAGATCACTATTTGGTGGTCTATAAAAGACGACTAAAGTAATTTTTTGATTGTGTTTAAGTATGATTTCTGCAATCAGGATCTCAGCGTTGGGTTTAATGTCGTCACGGTGTACGATTTTGTATGAACTTTTGGTTGCTATCAAAGCACCGCCTCCATGACGATTTCGATCACGTCTGAGTACTGAGAAATTTGAGGGGAAATTTCAGAATCAGCTATGGTAGAGTCTAAATGCGTTTCGGTAAGTATCACAATGTCTGCCTGGTTACTAGTGATCTCTAAGTGCAGTTTATCGATCTTGTTTACAATACTACGGGTGTTTGCGTATAGAACAAAAATTTTACTTGAGGTGTGTGTATTTCTATACATACCGACGCTACTGACTTGTTCGGTGGTTAAGCTTGGTCCTCGGTTTATAGCGATATCTCCAGCGATCAAAAGGAGAGCTGTTTGTAAGGTACTCTCAGGGAATTGATTGAAATCCAAATTAAAAGCGTACTTTACGATTTCGGATTTACGATTTCAGATTTGCCACGGCAATATTTATGAAATATGTTTCTTACGGAATTTGAACCATATTTCTGAGTCCTGATCTGAATTCGGGTTTCGCACTAAACGATTGGCTAGGAATAATTATTCGCTGGCCAAACACTCTTATATATCGTTGGCCGAGCCACAAAGTATCTATTAATTTGCTATTAAAGGGAACCAGAAAGATTTTTTCAAATCGTGCAGTAGACACACCGAGAGTATTCTCAAATACGGTGAGTAAGTAGATAGTTCACAATAAATTATAGATACAGTACCTGTCGCAAACATACATTGTCTGCGTGACCTATTGTTGGAGCTATAGGCTATAGCTATAGAGACGCCACAATTTTATTGAAAAGCCTACAACTTGGACAAATATTTACAAGATTTGTGACGTTCTTTAGTTAAGATTTAAGAAGTCGTTGTTAGCATATACTCAGAATACAATTAACTGCTTGGTTTCCGTCTGCAATTCAAATAATACAAAGTACGTACGAGTATTAAATACAACTCATGTGTCATGGCGCGTGGACACTTATACAGTGCAACAACTAATTGTCAAATAGCTTTCGTTTTACATGAACCCGGGATTTGTGGACACGAAAATAAAAAATATTATCACTTTTGACTTGAGCACACATCAGAATGGACAAAAGACCAGAAAAGCAGCGACGCTTTCAAAGCACTTGTAGACATTGCGAAATTTGATTCCTATAATTATAACTAAATATAGCACGGGTTGTGTATACGAATACGGAATGCGGACTAACCTGCGGACGGACGCACGGAAAAGTGTGTAAATGAGACGGACAAAAAGGGCAAAATACGGATAATAGGGACGCAACTACCTGAAAAATAAAAGGAGAACTCGATGTTTCGAACGAAGGCCCTTTATCGTGAAGTTAGTTGATAGTTCGTTGCTACTAAGTGCCTTCAAAATATACTAGGCATTTTTGAATATGTAACTGTATATACCTCTTTATGAAAGTATATGAAAAGTTTATCCAAATGAGGTGTGAGGATTTCACCGTCATGCAACGCGGCCAGACACCACGGCTTATTACATATTATGTATTCTCCTTACATCTCATTCTTTGGCTACAATCCTGGAAAAATACTGTGGGCAGCGCATGTTTGAATAGAAATATCTAGCTAGCTCGTGACATATATTATTGAAAGCCTGTCTATTTGATTTGCATTATATCATACGCAACACATAATAGCTATTAAATATAATGGATCCCGCTATCTCGAATTTCCAAGGGAAGCGAAAAATTGTTCGAGTCGACGAGGGTTCGATTGAGTATATAATGATCGACAGATTTTGTTGATCTTTTTATCTCTTTATCGACATGTATTATGTCTGTGTATATTATATACTTATTAAATTGTTGTTGTATGAATAGACATCCAAGCTTCCGGCTTGTCGATGTGCTATGTTCTGACATTTTGAAGTTTGCCGATCCAAAATAGGAAAAATAAATACATTTCAAGTTGAACGGGTAAATTTGAACAGGGGAAGATGAAATTTATTCCAGTTAGCGAGGAGTTCGATGGAGCTAACCGGCGTACTGTAAATTGCTGTAAAATGCGGAAGAAATCTAAGGGGAAATTGGATTTAGTTCGAATTGGGCGGGAGTTTGATATAAGCGTTCGAGTTAGCGGTGTTATATTGCAATGCGACAACATATATAACTATAATTTTTGTGTGTGTGTGTTGGTGTTATGTACTCAGGTGAATATGATGTTTGTGATGTTACTCTGAGTATGCATCCGCACCGTGCAAGCTGAAAAGTTTACTTGGCCATGGTGGAAATCGAACCCGCGACCTTTGGAATACTAGTCCAATGCTCTACCAACTGAGCTACGTGGTCAAGTCGGTTCGAGTTGTTTATATTTCGGAACTGAATCTAGTTCCTTCGATATCAGTGTAATCTATATATGATCATGATATGATGGACAATAAGTATCCCAAAGGTCGCGAGTTTGATTCCCACCGTGGCCAAGCAAACTTTTCAGCTTGCCCGGTGTGGATGCATACTCAGAGGAACATCACAAACATATATAACTATACTTTTATGTACAATGAACCCAAATAAATGGTTTTCCATATCTACGTATACGTACGCCTAGTTACCCATTGCATACAAATACTGGTTACTTTTCAACATTCACGCCGCGGTATTGAACTTTTCAGTTTGTGTTTTTTCACAGTTATCCTGTATTGTTAGTTGCGGTGATAAATTCTCAAAGGCAGTATTAGTTCCCTCAAAGTCTGAAATATAAATCCCCTAAATTGCGGGCTAAATAATCCCCTAAATAGGGAGTTTAAGCAAGCGATGTTTTTGTCAGCCGTACGTCAAATTCTCGAGAGGGGACTCGATTAAAAACTGTGTTTGTGTCAGTTTGTGGTAATCTTCGACACATATGACAAATCATAAGGTTTTTAAAGTTTTTTTCCTTCCTTACACGAGTGCTATGATGCAC